TGTTATGGACAAGTTATAAAAGGAAAGTAAAAGCACTTTCTCAACAACCGAGTAAGCAAAAGCCTCCACTCAGGTAACATCAATCTAAGCGAGAACCAAAATAGATTGGAATCCTAGTTTGGATGATACGTGGCACCAAAGATAGTAGTGTTCTAACTAATTATGAGCCCTGGCGGTGAGAGGGAAAGATTAGGCATATACGTGGAATAAACACAAATCTACCAAAGCTTTTTAACCCCCTGGATTCAAGGGTCTGCATTAGTCTCAAATTTCCCCACACTCCCGGCCACACAATCGCAAAGAACGCTGGAACACACCATCACAGATGCTTTGTTTAGATGATGACAGAAAAAAATGAGGGAAAGAAAATGAAAAACAATAGAATTTAGACACACTTTTTTATGTATGTAATATTTTTATAATCACAATAAAATTTCACTTTATTACAATTCTAGTTCTGATATGAATTTGCCTGCTGCCACAATTCTTCAAGTGCAATTTATATATCTATTAGATAATTTTAGTTATACAAATTAATTTTAAGATAGAATTTCACATGATTCAAGAAAATAATTTTATGAATAAAAAAAATTTATTTAAAATTTTTCTATTAATTAAAAGAGTATTTTTTTTTTTTAGTTATTTGGTTGAAGTAAAAAGAAAGTGATTATTTTCCTCCTTCATAGGAGGAATAAAATATGAATATTTTAACTAATTTTATATTATTTTAATATAATGGTGGCTAATAGATGCATAATAATATAAACGAGAAAGATCAATTGATCGGCCAATCTTTTTCGTTTCACCCAATATTTTTTTATAGGAGAAAAATATATATTAATCAAAATCAATTACCATCTTAATTATATTGTTTTTTTACATTTTGTGAAATGATATAATTAAATTCATATTCTTTATTTAACATGTTTCTTGTATATTTCATATATTTTCTTAATAAAATAATTATGTAAACAAATGACGAATTTAATGTAAAATCAAATTATACAAAATATTACTAATTATTAGTTAAATATCAACTCTTTCACCATTTCATTTTTCTTTGGTTGAAAATTACAAAATTGTGTGATCTCACTTATTTAAGACAACTCTATATTAGAATGTGAGTTAATCAATTTATAAGATAAAAAGAAGTCTCTCCTTACTTACTCTAAGTTGATAATATTATTGATTGATACGAAACTTAATTTTTTTCAATATCTTAATGATAACTTTTAATATTTTTTTCAGTAAATTAAGAAATATAATTTTCTTTCTATTTTAAAAAATAAAATAATATTTTTAATTGCAAAATAGTCAACCGAGTGAAGTTTACACATATAGAAACCTTATTATAATGCTTAGTTGATTGATTGCTCTTCATACATGCCAAAGGAAAAAAGTGAGTGCAACTGCGCTGCAATGAAACCCCATCTTTTATTTTCTCTTCTTTGTTTTGGAATTTAAAAATCAATCAATCAATCAATTATCAAATAAGCCTTTAATTTCTCTTTCTGGTCTCCTTTCTCACGTTTATATTAGCTAACTAATAGAAAGCGTAAAGCTCTCTTAGAAGTCACACTTATTCGTTACTCCCTCCATCCATTTCATAATAAACATTGTGTTTGAAAAAAAAATCACAAAATAAGTGTTATTAAGTAATATTATTTAAAAAATATTGTTGGATTATATCATTTTTAATACAAGATATTAATGATAAAATTAAATATGTAAAATTACTATTTATTTATTTTTAATTTATATAAAATAACTTAAAACAACACTTATAATAATAATAATAAAAAAAGCACATCTTATCGAGATGAAAGCATTATTATACTTAAACAATTCAATGACTAAAAATCGATAAAGATATATGCTTTGCTAAACAACATATTTTGTTTTATGAACAACCAACTTAATTAATCAAGTGTTTATTTATTATATGAGAATATATATTATATATAATTTTATTTACCAAATTTATTGGAATGAATAAAAAAATATTGGTTATTATTCAAATTTTAATAATATATATATACTTAAGCAAGGCGCATGTTCATTTATCAAAGTAAAAAATAAATAAAAAATCAGATAATATTTATTTTCTAGAAGGATCTTTAGAAACCATGGGTAAAATGTTGCTCCCCCCTATATGTTTAGAGTAATCACGTAAAACATAAAGGAAAAATGTCAAGCTAGAACAGGTAATATTGATTGGTTATTTGATACTGAATTTCTTCGTTGGTAAATTGTCGTTTCAGGAAATAGAAACAGCAATTATGTGGAAATCAAATTCCTCTTTTGGCAACAATCAAAGGGGAAGGTGGAAAATTGATTCTCACAGAAACTTTTTTTTTCCTTTCTTCTTTTCGGTATTTCATTTCCTTAGCGGTTATTTTATTTTATTTTTTATTTATTTCAGCTCACACTTATTTATTTTTCGATTGAATTAGATTATTTAAGATGAAGTTTTAGAACACTAATAAAAAAAATACAAATAAAAAAAATATAATTTATTTCTAGAAAGTAAATTAAATGATTTATCCTCATTACTGATATTTTCAAAATTACCAAATATTATAGCATTAGTTAAAGAAAAAAAAATTTAGCCAAAAAAATTATTTGATTAATTAGAGAGAGAAACGATTAATAGAGAAGCATATATTGATGTCATTTTTTAACTTGTCAAATACTAAATATTAATTATATTTAAATGGAGTAGTATAGAGAAAATAATAATTTTAAAAATATGTAGAATGCTAACTTACATGTGAACATAAATTTTGAGATTATATAACTATATATAGAATCATACGTGCATTTTGTAAAACTGATTTTCTTTTTTGTTTCAACGTATAAACAGAAAATGTTATTCGCATGCATAATGCATTTGATTTTTCCAAAGTTATTAGAATGAGCAATTTAGAAAATAATGTATATTAATTCATAATTGTTGATTAAAAATGTTAATATTCGAAAATTATGATGAAATCAAATTCATATATATGTATATAAGAGAAAAAAGGACATTTATGAACCCATATAATAAAATATAAAGTTAAATATAATATTCTATTTTCTTAATTTGCATTAAATATAATATATGAACATTTATCGCTATATAATAGTTGAGTAAAGTGAGCGATATGTCATGCATATCTTTGATTACACGTAGAACTAGTTTCCCTCCAGATGAAATTGTATATGGATTTAACAAGGACGGTAAAATATATTATTATGTTTAAAAAATATTAAAGTGAGATTTTCTTAAATTAATAATAATATTTTTGTTAAAAAATAAAAATATTTTAAAAATATATCTTGAAAAAAAATAATTATATTTATATATCTTTTAAAATAAAATTTAGAAATATATTAAAAAATGATTTTTAAATTATGGAATCTTAAAAAATTATATAAATCTTAATATAAAATATTTATAAATAAAAAATATAAATAAAAAAAGTTTTGTTTACCTCACTCTTGTACGGTTGAGATTTAATTTCTAGCCTAATTAACTGAAGAATTAAGTTAGTTTATTCTATTTGTATTCTATCTGTGATATGATATATGTATCTATTTAACTAATTAGCAACCTTTTTTTAGCTATAATCCGCATATTAATTGTTGCAAGCTTTGGCGTTTTCTGACTATAATATATAATCATGCATGCGCTATCTTGTCTCTTGGGAAAAAAAAAAGAAAAAAAAAGCGGAACATATTTATGAGTTTATCGAAAGTATTTTCTGTAGAACAAAAGAATTAAACAAGGCTTATCCACTGTATGAGTTCCAAAAAAATGAAAAAAAAAAATGCTAATCCACTATAGGTGTTAACGTTGGGGTAGTTTGAGTATTCATCGACTTAGGTACAAATTAACAGTCAGTTTAAGACTTTTTTAAGTAGCACTTCTTAAGTAAAAATATTTCATCTTTTAATATTTTTTTTAATCATAATATTTTACATTATTTTATAATTATTGCATTATATATTTAAAATTGTATCTAAATTTTTTTAAAAAAATTTATAAAATGTTGAAGTAATTATCAAAAGGTTATATAACATCAATATTTCTTCTGTGTATGTTAAAGAAAATTAAGTTGACGTCGATAGCAGATTATTTATTCATCAGTGTTATAAATAATGAATATAGCGAGTTTTAAATGAGTTTATATATATACTAAAGAAAATTTATTGTTATTTATTCCTGAGTAAAATCTTATCCAGGATTCATACTAAAGAATAAGATAAAACCCATTCAATAATTAAAATATTGAAAAAATGTAAAACAGTGAGGCAAAATAATATTTTATATAATAGTGAAAGCGTAAAATAAAGTCTTCTTATTAAGATATTTTTTTATTACAAAAATGGTAATTTATACTGCATTAAGAAATTGTCATATTAATAATCATTCTATTCATATGATATTTTACTGATATAAATTATATATATATGATAAAAATTAAATTTATAATATAAACATTAAAAGTACATTAGCAATTAATTAATATTATATATTATATTGAAAAATTATTAATATAATGCATCATAGTTTATTTAAAAAATTAAGAAGAGTGGGATTGAAATAGCATAAATGATTGTGATTACTAGTGTGTGGATTTTAGCAGAAAGAAAAGAGAAAATAGGAAGGTTGGGGGTAATGGGTATCTTTCTATCCATGGAAATCTAAGAATTAATTTGTATATAAGGGTGGCGTAGTAGGCACGCTCCGGGAACAGAGTGACGAACCCTCGCAACCTATTATTCGTAAGAATGATTCATTTTCTAAACAAAATACTCGTTATTATTTTATGTCCATTATTTAAACTTAATTTTACTTCCCCAAACAAATCACTGCTTCTCTCTACCTTCCATACTTCTTCTCCTTTTCTTTCCCTCTCTCGATATTCCCTTCCAATAACCATAAACAAAGAAAAACTATTTATTATTAATACCTCATTTTCTTTCAATACCTCTCTCTTCCTTTTCATGTGTCTATGGCTGGTTTGGATTTAGGCTTCGTTCAAACTCTCCACCAAAGACCAGACTTCAACCACCAATCACAAGAAGACGCCAACCAAACACAAACAGACCAGTTCCCCGCCGACGCCGCGGGGCGGCGGCC